GCCCTCTCGCCCACCCAGGCTCAGCCGCCCTCTCGCCCACCCAGGCTGAACCCCTCGCACAGCAGGAAGGCGCTGAGGAACTCCCGCCTCGTCAGCCAGAAGGACGACGTCCACGTCTGCATCATGTGCCTCCGCGCCATCATGAACTACCAGGTGGGAGAGGGCAGCGTCCTCGGGGACCCACCTGGGGCTCCCCAAAAGCCTCCAGCTCCTGCGGTGCCATGTTCAGGGTCAGGGTTTGGGGTAGGACCTCTTCTCCATCCCCTTGCTCTGAGGTGGCCTCACTCGACCTCATGTCTGGTGGGGATGTGGCACGGGGCTGTCCCAAGGTCCTGGAGCATCCCAAGGGTGGAGATAGGGACACGCACGACCCCATTAATGCTCCTTTTCTCCCCAAGTCTGGCTTCAGCCTGGTGATGAACCACCCAGCCTGCGTCAACGAGATCACCCTGAGCCTCAACAACAAAAACGCCAGGTAGGACCCATCCCCTGTCACCCGTTCCCCTGTCCCCTCGCCCACCGCATGGCCCTGACCCCCTCACACCCTGTATCTCCACAGGACCAAGGCGCTGGTGCTGGAGCTGCTGGCCGCTGTCTGCCTGGTCCGAGGTGGCCATGACATCATCCTGGCCGCCTTCGACAACTTCAAGGAGGTGAGTCCTCAGCAGGGACGTGAGGTCCCCACACTGACACCCATGCCCTGGCTGGGTCCGTGCCTCGGTTTCCCTCTGTCTGGCAGAGCCCTGCATCCTCAGGGCATTCTGTATCCTGAAAATGCCCATCCCGTGACTCGCCTGGGGACGTTCCAGCTGTTGGGCTTGATGTCCCCATGCCAGCGCATGTCCCCAGGGCCAGGTCCCAGCTGGACTGGGTGCAGGGCAGCACCCATCAGGGTTGAGATGGCATCACCGGCGGGTGCCTCCTGCCCTGCCACCCCCCTGGGTGCCCACCCTGTCTGTGTCCTTCCTGGCCCTCAGCCCCCTGCTCCCACTCCAGGTCTGCGGGGAGAAGAACCGCTTTGAGAAGCTGATGGAGTATTTCCGAAACGAGGACACCAACATCGACTTCATGGTGAGCGGTTGGCTGGTCCTCTGCTGTCCCCAGGGCACATTGTCCCCAAGATCTTCTGAGTCGCTGTGCTGTCCCCAGGCTGTCATGTCCCCAAGGGCTGCTGAGCCACCATGCTGTCCCCAGGGCATCGTGTCCCTAAGGGCTGCTGCGCTGCCGGTCCTTCCCCAGTTCCCCAGGGCTGTGAAACCACCAGGCATTCCCCAGAGGCACGATGTCCCCGAGGGCCACTGACCCACTGCACAGTCCCCCAGGACCACCGGTCCACCATGCCATGCTGGTGGCCGCGCTGAGCCCGTGCCCGTCCCGCAGGTGGCCTGCATGCAGTTCATCAACATCGTGGTGCACTCGGTGGAGAACATGAACTTCCGCGTCTTCCTGCAGTACGAGTTCACCCACCTGGGGCTGGACCAGTACCTGGAGGTGGGTGATCCTGCGCCGCCCCGGGGCTGAGCCCCTGCTGCCAGAGGTGGGTGGGTGCTGGAGGGGGTAGCCCTGGCCGTGACGATGCCACCGGCTGTCCCATGGCAGAGCCTCCGTCTCACCGAGAGCGACAAGCTGCAGGTGCAGATCCAAGCCTACCTGGACAACGTCTTCGACGTGGGGGCCATGCTGGAGGACTCGGAGACCAAGACGGCCGTGCTGGAGCACATGGAGGAGCTGGAGGAGCACGTCAGCCAGGTGGGACGTGGGTGCGTGGGCAGGAGCTGCTGACGCAAGCCCCGAGGGAGGGACGGGGATGGGGCTGAGCGACGTCGCCTCGTTCCCCGCAGTTGACGGAGAAGCTGCAGGATGCAGAGAACGACTCCATGGCCAAGATAGCGGAGCTGGAGAAGCAGCTGAGCCAGGCGCGGCGGGAGCTGGAGGCGCTGCGGGTGAGCACCCGGGGGTGCTGCGGTGCTGGAGGAAGGGGCGGGTGCCTGGGGGACCGGGG